TTTAAGGCTTTGAGAAATGAATCTATAAATCTTCACGACTTTGTAATACCAATTATTCAGTACAGCGTGAACCCAAATAATGTGAGTTCAATAATCATATTTCACATTAAGCGTACCTCCGTTACCCAATTTTTTGAACATAAATATTCTATGATAACATCACATGTTCTGCTTAGGAAGACCACATTTACATTTTAGAAGATGCACTTGATCTCTGGCTCGCTGTCATTGAAAACTCGATCGAATGCACCGCCGGTTTGTTTGCCCTTGTTCCCTCAGCTATCAGTTTTCTGGAGTTTGGGACAGAAAATCTCAAGAAGGTTTTGAAGATCCTCGAAAGTTATGTCATTTTGGTTCCAGACATGGTTGTTCAGGTGAGACAGTATTAATTCGTCCCTTTCATCATCACAACCACATCTATTGATTCAAAGTTGGTTTAAACTATGCCCATCACACTTCAGTCGTACTGTCATCCAATCATGAATAATCTCACACAATTGTTAGGAGATTTAAAACCTGAAGCATGTCGCGCAATTGTTCACCTTCTCGATGTTATATTTCAAGCGTGTCATTTTTCATCATTAGGTGAATCGATGGTTAGTAGCGGGTTATTGGGAAAGTTAATAGATTCCATGGTCAACAAAAATGAGGTAATTAAATTACACGGGAAATATATGTATATTATTCATTCCGTTAACAAGGTCCTATCAAAAAAATAAAAATGAAAAATAATAATAATTCAGGATTACTCGTACGTTCTCGTGAACTACATGTCCTTACTAGCGAGATTGGTTCTTATCGATCCCGAATTTATCGTAAATTTTGTAACTATTGCTGGTCAGCAACAAGGTCCGATATATAATGGCAAACACCTGCTAAATGTAATACTTGAGATATGGTTGGACAAGGTAGAATAATGATGGGGATGCTTTGTAATATTTTTTTTCAACAGTCTTTTTGATATTAATCCAAGTCATCTCCTTTAGTTTGACAATATTGGCCATCCAAAGCAGAGGAAGTTGAACGCGATGGCTTTCGCTACGTTGATTTCCACGACAAATCCAATAATTTTGGGATACTTGGCAATGTTTGTTGCAATTTGGGGAGATGTGTTGAGTGAAGTCAAGGAATCGGGCGGTGGAGAGTAGGTGATTTTGGAAATGTGATTTTCGAGCAGTACGAGATCGAATCATGAAATTTTTTTTTTTGTAGCGCATTGGTCTATTGGCAAGAAGACATTTCCACTGAGGTGGGGACGGATGGCATTGACGATACACCAGAGACTAAGAGGAAAAGAGCGGTAAGATTTCTTCAACTTTACGCTCCACATTTATTTGTTAGTTAATCGGTCATTCATCGAAAATTTTTACCTTGTGACCTTTCATCAGCTATTACAGAGAGATCCCATACACACCACGAACCTGACTCAATTCATTCGACTGAAGCTTGGAGAGTGCGAAACCCTCAACGGTGGAACACACATATTTAACCAGGTAGACAGGTCCTTGTTGGATCAATTGAATGAACTGATGAAATGTTAAATATAGTCACACACACATACATCTTTGTAAAAACATGAAACTCGCATATTTATTGGCAGGGTCTTCATCGGCCCTTGAAAGTATTATGCTCCCGCCATTAAAATTTTTTTCGACAATTATCGAATAGAGATTATCTAACATTGATGGTGACAATTATACAAGTTGTATTTTACCATTTAAGATAGCAATTCAGATAATTAAATGTCCTTGTAAACAAACACCAAGAAAGCATGCATGACATTCATAATAAAAGCTTCATTTTTTGAAGATTGCCACGTTTTTGGTTTTGTTTTATTTTTATTATTATATTACCATTACTACGGTTTCTATTTTTATCGATTACAAATTAAAGGGAATTAAATCTCTATTTATTGTGGTATCGTCATCTTGTTTGCGTAAAGGTTTTCCGTGATCACCTTTCGTGCACGCGTTATTAAGGATTAAGTGTAAGTAGCGCTAAAATGAATTATACCAAATCTAAGGACGGACACGAAACCTACGAGAATTTCGAGTATTAAGTAAAAAAGCATATTATTTTTTATTTTATATCATCATCATCGAACGATTTAAATTTTTTTATATATAATCTTATGTTTAGGGGTGGTGGTGATAGTGGTGGTAAGGGGTAATTAAGAAAATCTCTATAAATGCGTATGTCGCTTAGGGTAAAGAAAAATTAAATAAATGGTTAATTTAAGTCTATGTTAATGGAATGCCAATTTTTTTTTAAAAAAAAGAAATATACATGTATAAAAATGCGTTTTGGGGGTTTTTTTTTCTATTGATGCCAATTTTCTATGCCAATTTTTTTTCTATGCCAATTTTTTTCTATGCCAATTTTTTTTCTATGCCAATTTTTTTCTCTGTCAATTTTTTTTCTATGCCAATTTTTTTTCTATGTCAATTTTTTTTCTATGCCAATTTTTTGTTAATTATTTTGTAGGGAAATAAAAACGAAATTATTATTGTTTTTTTTTCTTAAAAAAAAAAAATAAAGGAATTTGTAACGATACCGGATTTTTTTTTTTCTATATATACAGATGCCAGATTTTGCCCGAAATTTTTTTAGTGAATGTATGTTGCAAACAATGGATTTTCGTTGGAATCGATTGAGACCAACGGCGAGTACGTTGATCCGAGGTTATTGATTTGATTAAAGTTGTCAAAAGGGACGACGGGGTTGATGGGATTCGATTCATAGAGATTTTGTTCGTAATTATAAGGTTCTGCCGCAACGTTCCAATTTATTTCCTGGACGGGGGGATTCTGAATTGGATAATACACGTTGCCGGGTTCTTGGTAGTACTCCGAGTACTCTGGTTGCACGTATGAAATGGAGGGGTTGAAGTTGCTGCAGGTTTCGAGGTTTTGGCGTGCATTTGCATTCGTATTCTCGTGAGTATTCAAGAATCGTCCGCCCGGTCCACGGGGACGACGCATCGCGTGCACATGACGAGACTCATGAATATAAGGCTGAATATTTTGAGGAAGTAACATCGTCAGTGGACGTCAGAGATGAGGAAAACAATAAAAAAAAAAAAATTTTTTTCATCTGAACGACAAACGTGAAATAATTTATTTACCTTTCTCTTCTTGGAAAGGCCATAACGTTTTTCGAATTTTTCGCGGGCAATTCTTCTCTTGAGGATACGTTTGTATTGCTTTGGATTGACGAAAAGAGCTTCGTCTTCTTTCTTATCCTTGCTTTCTTCAACCTTCCCGTCATTCTCATCCTTGATGGATGGTGGTGATAGTACTTTAATTTGTTTCTTGTTCTCCACAGGTTTATTGATTTCCAAGGATTTCTTTGTCTCGACCTGTGGTGGAGAAGTGGGCGGAGATAGTAGGTGGTGATGGTGGTGGTGATGGTGGTGCTTAACCTCAATTATTGTTTGGTCGGGAATCATTGAACCGACATCTCGGAGTTGTTCAGGGTACAATTGGTTGATCAACTGAAAGATGGAGTGGGAAACAAACAAGGTTTAAGGTTTAGTGTCGTGACGGTGGAAAAAAAAAAAAAAGCGGGGGAGGGATTTTCAATCGGAAGTAACTAATTACCATGGGTGGGGATGGAAATGCGTGATATTTGTCGGTCAACTCATATGGAGTAGTAATCAATGGCTTCAAGTCGATGTCGGTAGGGGACATAAGCGGTGGCGTCATCATCTAAACAACGGGGGAAGAATATATAAAGTTCAGATCGAGTCAAGAATTAAAGTTTGATCAAGGGAAATTTTAGTGGTGGAGACACGTTACCAGGTTGGGATACTGCAACACTGAATGCTCGACAGGAACAGTGTCGTACTGTTGAAAGTGTTACGATATATATATAAATTTATTATGTGAGATATTTTATTTTTCCCAGAAAAGAAAAGAAATATATTTTACTTGTCGGTTAGGAAATTCGCACTCACCACTACGTTGTTACTGTGGTCATAGCCAGTGGCGCACACCAAATTTTCAGCCTTTCCAGCACCAACATTTACGCCAGCAACATACAAACCGTCATTATCAACGACCTGCGAGAGGTTTGAAGGAAAGATATTTTGGCATTCCATGTTTTAGATAAAGCCGAACAGACACCCAAGGCCACCTTAGCGTTAAGTATTGAGTTCAAAGACGGAAGGATCGATGTTAAAAAAAGGAATAGCGAAAGAGCAAATTTAGGAATATAAGGGAAACGGGAAAAGAAAAAAAAAAATTTTTTCGGATGGCAGAACTAGAGAATTTTTATATTTTTTTTTTCTTGTTCGATCAATTTATATATAGAATTGATCATATAAGGCGGTATATAAAGTGAAAATTGGCGGCAAAAGTGTAATACGTAAATACAGTATATATATATATTTATAAGCGTCAAAAATATGTTGTGTCCTAAAATAAATACGGTTACTTGCGATTACTACTACTATATAGAAAATATATTTGTCGTCATTAAATAAAAAAAAAGCCGGCTCACTCCGATGATATAACAAAAAAAAAATTTTTTTTCTGCCACCTGGATAAAATATCGTATTGATAAATGAAATTTGTTACAGCTTTTTCTGGAAACCAAGTAAATTAGTTTTCGTGATGATTGGTAAAAAAGTTCTTGAGGATCCTCCGGATGCAGAAAATCTGTGCGCGCAGTTGATGGGGTAGAAATTTTTAAAAAGGAAAATCATTATCCAAACAAAATTTTTTTAGGGTTGGTTATTCACACCTAGACAAATCAAGTTTCTTGCTTGGCATCATTATAGTCTAAAACGGGGATCCGAGAATGTTGTCAACGGTGTCGTCGTCCGAAGCAATTCCCGATGTGTCTCAAAATTCGGTCTACGTCATATTGTGATCAGATGATCAACCATCACGAAAAATAAAAAATATTAGTCATTCACCAAATGGCTTTCTACCGTCCGTGTCCAACAATTAGATTCCATAAATAGATAATGAGAGTAATTGAATTAGGTGGCGCCCGACCATATTCAGAATGAATTTTGAAAGGAATACAAGCAATCACTTCTCACCGGATAGTGAACAATCAATCAATCAGATTGGTTTGATCTCGACGCAACACCGACGATCGTTGGGCGGCCATATATTTTTTTTTTCTCCTAATGGGTGGATGAATGAGCCGTCATCGGATGTTTCATTTCACCATTCCACAAAGTGGATGTCTCTTAAAAAAATTTCATTGTGTGCGACCCGAGTGAACAGTGAGTAGAAAGGAAGAATGAAGGTCCCAATTCCTGAAACGAGTCGCGTCGCCATAACCATGAAATTAGATGAAACGTGGTTTGTCCGATTAATGTCTCGAATTCTATTTTGTTTATTTTTTCGCGTTGTGCTACGTTTAGGCTAATTAAAAGGCTATTGACGTGTCTCTCGAGATTCCAATGAAACAAAATCTCGAGATGACACAATCATCCACTTTATTAATAGATAAAAATCTCGGAACGCGATTGGTCATGACTTCACCATCTCTTGTTCCATATTTATGAACCATAAGAAGATACATTGAACCAATTTATTGAATCAGCCATTTATTATAATTTATGCACTGTTATATCACGAATCATGCAAGTTTTGTGGGCTGCCGTACATTTTTAGTACTCAAGGTGCCATTCCGATCACAACCGAATACGTTCGGATAAAAATAGGTGTCCAAAGGCGTTGCATTAAAAAAAAAAGAATGTAACGCCCCACAATTTGATCAAGTGTTAAGTTTTCTTATTCACGTGGCATTGCCGTCCGACAGAAGGAAAAAAAAAAAATCATGAGATGAACTGATAAGTGCGGTGTAACGATCGTAATATGTCTGCACGTAGCAATACGTTTGCGTCACGCGCAACTTTTTTCCGCAATCAGCGCATGAAAACAATATACAGGCGAAACCTTTTTGGGAGAAATTCAAATTCTTATAGCAGCTGCGACTCGCAACACTCAAAGGACATGGCCTCTGAGAATTAAGGATGTTCTCAGAATCACAAGAATCGCATTTCCAAATATGGATACTTCAATAGAACAATGCGATCAGATAAAAGAAATAGTGGGGTATCCCGAACATTTGGTAAACTGTGTCGCACACGATTAAGAAAGGCACCGTTGTACACTCTTCTTGGTGTTACCATCAAACACTAATCGCATTTATTCAAATACGTATCGAAATTTTTTTTTTTTTTTTTTTTTCAGTGATTCTTATTCCTACTGCTCATTCGAAATGTGAATAACTTCTTTGCAGCCGTACCAAACTCTTTTGAATCTCAAATATCACCAAACTTAGTAGAGATCATTGGATTTGATCGACCATTTTTGTCGTCGCAGATAAATGAACCATAATAATACAGTAATAATAATAATAATAATAATAATAATAATAATAATAATATACTGCTATAATAAGATCTGGAACCTTTTTTTTTTTTTCCGGGACCAAAGAACCCCCAGGCTTGTAACGATGAGTCATTGTTGGCAGAAAAAAAAACTCAATTGTGATAATTTAAAGGACAACGGAACTTCTTTTGGCATTCCGTAAGTGAATCGCTCGGCACTGTTATCCCATAATCAGATTAGCTCCGATGTGTTCAAATCGCATCCATTGGTCGAATGGTTAACTGAAAGTAGATGCGTGTAACGTTCAGTGATTAACATCAAAAGAAAAACAACACCAATAAATATTTTGTCTGTCAATTTCTGTGAAAAATTCGCATGTTTGTTTTTTTGTTTAAGTAATGTGAAATGAAATGTTGGGTCAATAAACCTGTGAAAAAAGCGGGGAAGGTGCAACGAAAAAAATTTTGTTCAAGTGCATAATAAAAAGAAAGACCGACATTCATAGTCATAGAGAGGTTTTACTATAATCAGTTACACCTTCGGTACGTGTTTAACTGGTGCCGTTACTGTTGAGTTTTTTTATTTGTGCGCATCAAGTTCCCCTCGCACGAATTTTGTTATTGCTGCAATATGAATGAAGGAATTTCTTGAAAACAGACCAATCAAATGTTGTGTTGAGGTGTGCCGAAAAAAGATAAAATAATAATATTGAGGATGATTATAGTAATAATAATAATATCAATACAGTACGTAAATAATAACATGAAAATACAGTAAATAAAATATCACATCATTTACATAATAATTTATTAAGCATGCATGTAAAACCTATCATATATGCAATGAAAGAAAATATGGGGGCATTGATTAGTAAATTTTTCCACATTTGTTTATGGATCAAAAATAACAAAAAAATTTCTATTAATATGTTTCACTCTCCTCGGTAATTTGTTTATTGAAACATGGATGTTTGCGTGAATACGGATTTTCATTGGTCAACCCACTTAGTATCATATTGAGTAGTAGAACATGCCGGATATTCGCCTTTTAACAATTTCGTGTGATACCTTGTTTACATAAATGACACGAAATACATTCTGTCGCCAAGCCCCTATGAGATTACCGCGTTTGTTCATGACTTGATTAGTGTAAAAATGTCTGTCGGAGAGAGTCGCGTGAATCTCGTATCACCCAGCATACGTATGATAGAACCCCGAATGGAGTAAGGTCTGACAAAATAAGGAACGAAAAAGAGTTGATTCATCCACGTGATCCTTATGCTAAGATTGTGTGGTTGATGACGTACAAATAAAATAATTTTTTTTTTTTAGGAAGGGGCAGGGGAAGACGTGAGGCGTGTGGTTCTTCCCCCCTGTCCCCATGCATTGCTATGTTTGTTTGTTACATAATCTTTGTTGAAACGGAACACAAATTTCCACATTAAAATTGGCTGACACCAGAATTCGGGCGCAAGGTGGTTGTGCCTGAAACAAATTTTTATCATACCAAAAAACCCCGCTAATAAAAAAAGCCCAGTCTCCATATGTGGTCAACGAAGAGGCCGAATGCGGGGAAAAATTTTTTCTTTGGTAGGATTTTTTTAAAATTTTGGTGAATGATGAGAAGCGACGCAGAATCAAGTCGCGCTGCACGATGTAATGATTTTCGATGCATAAAACATACGTACGTACTGTACGTAATGCATCAAGATCTTGAACCTGTCAATCTTGTAAAACTTATTTATAAAGTTAGATAAAAGTAATTCTAATCCCTGGAACAAAAATCAATCGGTCCCGAAGAAGACGGGAAAATGCGTCGCCATTCCAAACCTCGAACATCACTCGTTCAATTACCAAATTTGAAGGTCAATATGGATGACTCACTTATTGTTCATTAATCTGGGAATCTGGAGATGTTTGTGTGCTCGTATCGCATCATACGATTCCAAAAGGTTCGAAAAGAAACTTTCTCTTATCTAAACTTTTTGTTCACACGCATGTAAATTAATTTTAAATTAATTTGCTCATCTGACCATGCATTACATCATTGGAACATAATTAAAGGCTAAGTCTCATCTCTTTACCACGCTCATCTGACCATGCATAATAACATCACGAGGGACACGATATGCAATTTACGTGTGACGAGTCAATCGTCTACCCGGGGCGTAAGTGCCATTTGCTCATTTGCTCCCTAGAGCAGTGGTTCCTTGCCATTGCTAGTGTAGGATGAATTCTTTGATAAGTTTTTGTGTTATCGTGTCGTTTGATTTATCAGCGTCGAAAGATCATCTGATTTTTTATTTGTGTAAGGTAATTACGACACTGCCATATCGGTCCGAATAACAATGCATAGATTTGTGAACATTGTTCGTTTTTGTTTGCATGCCAAACACAATAAATAATAATAATCGCGCATTTATTTACCCCGGAAATAACATAATATTTCGTGTTTATTTATTTACCATTTGCATCATCATTATTAATATTATTACTAATTAATCATAACACTTATGCGCGAGTATTAAAAATAGCATCCTTTTTGTTTTGATAGAAAATCCCAAGAAATGCCACCACCGTAATTCGTTTTAGCCAAGTTTTTTGCAAAGCGCAGTTTTTTTTTTTTTTTTTTTTTTTCCTCGCCCTCCAAATCTTAATCGGTTTCACATTTAGCTCGAGTTAGGTTACGTATATGATTTTCTTGAAACGTCGTATCATTTTTTTGAAACAGGTTTGATCCGTTTTAACCATTAAATTATTTGATATTACAGTTTGCATAAAGATTTTTCTGAAAAAAAAAAATTAAAAAAAATTTCGGATCTACTTTACGAACATGCCGCACTTAATAAAGAAATATTTTCTTTTCAATAAGGAAGTTTATGGGTTTTCCATGAGATCATTTCTGTCTTGAAAACGCTAGTTTTTTTTTTTTTTTGTTTTTCCAAGAATCTGCTTTATCTCACTTTGTGATATGTTCTCATGTAATCTTATGGATTGGTAAAAGAAGTCGTGCAAAGGTTAAGTCGGAAAAACAAATGTCATATCGGCATGATTAGAAATCGGAAACACCAATTGCCATCATCTTATTTTTAATTATTGAAAAATTATTTATTATTTTTTTTTAATTATTTTTAATTATTTATTATTATTTTTAATAGAACCAAATAAAATAATTGATTGATTGACAGAATAAATTTATCTAAAAAATTTATTTGTTTTTATTTTTGGATAATGTATTATGGTCAGAAGTGTATTGTATAAAGTTGATTTTTTTAAATCATTTTTCAAAAAATACTACATATAAATTTATAAACAAAAAAAAATTTATATGTTATTATTTACATATCTGACAAACATAAATTTATTTATTTTATTTTTTTTTTTTGTAATCAAACAAGTATTTAAGATGTTTATTTAATCATTGAAAGTGAAAACATAAATGTACAATACTTTTATATATAAATTAATTTAATACTTAAATACTCATTGCTGATTTATAATTTCTAAGTATGATCTTGGAAATGAATAAAGTTGCTCCCTCTTCTTTTCTATTCCTAAGAAAAGTTAAGTTCATTGTCTATGGTTCATTATTACAATTTACCTTGGCAAGGTCTTGATTACTTTTATATTTCCAACCATTTGATATCTTCTTTAATCTTATTCAATATAACTTTTGTAAGGAAACTTGCTGGAATCTTGTTGCTAATCAATATATTTGCTCATGGCATTATTGATATTTCTTTCATTTTTTCTTTACTGATTTTAATCTTTTTTTCTTTATCTTTATTTTTGGTTATATCTGTACTTCTTGAAGCTTGATTTGTTTTTTTTTTCTTCTTTCATGATTTGAAGCTAGAATCTGGCTTAACTAAATCTTTCTATATTTCTTGATTCACCTTTCTCACTTTACCTTTTTTCTTATCTCAAAGCCTATTATGATTATGAAATCTTTCATATCTTACATTTCAAATTTGCTGATGGAGCTATTTGTACCAGTTTTGAAATATTTTATTTAGAATCTTATGTGCTACTATCTTATAGATTTGAATTGGCTATAAAGTTTTTGCCCATTTCATTATATCTGCCCATGTCTATAGTTAAAGATGGATCCCTAAATTGTTTGTGAGGACATAATTCAAATGTTTCTTATTATTAAAAATTTTTATTTCTATATTAAGAAATAAAAAAAAACTACCTACAAAAGTTCTTTATAGTTCTAAGTATCTATACAAATCATTTCTGGAATTATGTCCCTATTGAAATAAAGAGCTAAGAATTATGTCCTCTAGGAAACGTGAATATAAAGGGATGTAAATTTTATATGCTAAATACTTTAGGAACCCATTTTTATCTATAGTCCTATACTGAGGTTGGTAATCTCTTTTGCTAATAATAGTTTGTTTTTCTTCCATTTATCCATTAGCTCAATAATTGGTACTGGATTCTATTTTTTATTTTTATTGTTTTTTGTTATATTCTTTGAAATTCAGAATAAAATTGACTTGTTAGTGATATCTGTTCAAATTTCATTTCTTTTTTTTTGAAGTTTTTTACATGTAAGCAGATAATTTAGTATTTTCTTCTAATCCTGGCAAAAAACATATTTGGTATTCTTGAGCTGCTCTTGAGTATTGCATTTGATTAAATTGTTTATCGTTGGCAATTTATTGTAAATAAGTTTGATTTTGAATATTTTTTTTTATAAGTTTAAAGGATGTAATTAAAAATCCTTTGTTATTATTATGAAATCAGAAACCTTTTCAGTTAAACTCACTGTCTTTCTTTAACTCTTCTTTTTATCTTTGTTGGATTCTATTAAGGGATATCCATTGTATCAGGATCTCTTTTTTGTTATATTTTTTGATGAAGACTTGTGTTAAGATATCAATTGGAATATTATTTCATTCTAATACTGTAATTGAAATTATTAATGATAGTACTTTCCATTCTATTCCTGCTTTTTCTTTTGCTGCCTTGACTAAAAAATCTATTTGATTATTCAACTTGTCTTTGCTATGAGCTTTGATTTTGATAAGTTTTAACTGTAAATGTTTCTAGAAATTGTGTTTATTAGCCTTGATTATAGTTATCAGTTTAATATCTTTATATATCTTCTTATTGTATTTTTTGGATAAGGTCTATATAGTCTTGTATATATATGTGGTAGAAATTGGTAGATCCTTGACACAATTTGACGCAATTATTTGATGCAATTAATTAAGTCAGTATTAAAACATATAAAATAATTGAGTCAGATATAATTATTTTTAAGAATTTTGGCAATTGAGTTAACAACAAAATAATTTATACCACTTGTATAGTCTTGTGAAGGTGTTTATACAAGATGCACTATCTGTTTTGATTTTTACAACCTTGTCATTTGGTATTAACAATATTGTTAAAAGGATTGCTATCAGTTCTGCTCTTATAGATAATAATCAATTATCGACTCCTACTTGAAAAGATCTATTAGGATTTGATTACTCAGTTTGGAACCAGACTGCTCTTATTCTTATCAATTGATTAAATACTTTTTTCATGGCTCTATCTGTATAGAATTAATAGATACTTTGGTAATTGTTGTTTATATTTATTCTGTATTTTAAATATAGCTATAAGCAGTAATTTTTTGATACAATATTGTCTTGAATGATCTATATTCCATACTTTTCTATCTTTATGTATTGCAATTTGAATAAAGCTAAATAGCTGGATTGCAGTTCACTCAGTTTAGCTTTGGCTTGACTTTCCAATATATGAATTTCTATTAGAATTGAGAATTTTTTGCCTTTTCTATATTTTGCAATTTTGTTCATCCAGCTGAAGAAAAGTAAAGGACTTTGGCTAATATATTCTTGAATTATTTCAACTTTTGTGAATTTGATTATTCCTGAAGTTGATCCTATACTGATTTGAAAATATTTTGTTCCTAGGTCACTTGTTGATTTTGAACTTCTTCTTCTAAACCAAAAAAGTTTTTATTTTGCCTCTATATCTCACCTTACTTGTCAATTCCATCTTCTGTAATTTATTTGTCTGTTTTGTATAAAAAGCATTCTATTTTGTAATATCTAATCAAAGTTTCTTCAGTTTTGTCTAAGAACACCAAACTCATTTGCTATTTGTTGTTTGATAATCTGATACCAGCTTGGTGGGAGTTCTTGTCCATGATTATTTGAAGATTATATAACTTTCCAGTTTAGAAGTATATTGTATTCTTTGTTTATTAGTTGGTTAATAAACATAATATTATGTTTTTTTAGAAATTTTATGGCCTTGGTATAAATAAGGGGATTATTTAGTAATGTTTTGACTGTCAGGTGTTCTTTTTGCCATTGAAAGATGTTTAACTATTGAGAATTTGGAAATGTAATATCTATCTTGTTTGTTGACTTAAATATTTGTGCTAAGAGATTTCTCTTATAGTTGTTATGGAATATATCCTTGATAAGAATATTTGCTGGCTCCCAATACTATATCTGTACTTTCTTAAATTGGATTAGAATGAATATATCTAAGTAATTATTGCTGTTTAATTAGTTTATAAAGTTGATAATTTGGTTTTCGAGTTGTATTTCCCAAATACTTTTGATTTTATATAAAAGTTTTTTGTTGTGTATGATCAAGTTAAATATTGTTTCTGTTATATGTACTATTTTTTTTAATATTTTTCAAAGTTGTGTTGAAAGATAATTGACTGTATAGAAGTTGATTTAACTGTATTATAGTTGATATTTTATTCTAGAAATGAGAACTCTATTAATTATATATTACATGTATTTGTCAGTAATCAACCTTTTTCCTAGGTTTGGCAGGATTGCTTGGATTTCTTATTGAATTCTGTTGCATATATCTTTGGTTTGGTCTTTACTCCCTAACCAGATACCTAAGAATCTTGAATGACTATTATAATCTAGTTCTATAACTTTTTCTTGTTTGATGTCCAGATGAATTTTGTTAGGATTTTTGTTTTTGTTATTGATGCTTATTAATACAGATTTGTTTCTGTTAATCTATAAGTCATTTATTACATACAGTAAAATTATTTAATTCTTTCTAAAATGTTTTTTATATCTTTTCAAGATCTTGTTATACAAGTAGTATTATTCATATATATGATTACTACTTGCCTTATAGATAATTTTCATAGTTTATCTGAGTTGGTTAATGTATTGCTGAAATCTGGTTGCCAAGAACATTTTATCAAGTTTTTTAATGTCTTATTTTT